ATCGCTGTTTCAAATTGCTTAGGGTAGCCTTAAGTGATGCGGTCACTGAACATTAGATCAATGGGCACGACTGCACGTTAAATCTCCGTGATAATTGGGATATCGAAACGCATCGTATAGCGTCTTTCTCTCCCCTGTCTCTCACCATTCCTCCCCTCTCTCTCTCTCTCTCTCCCTCCCTCTATCCTGCCGTTCCTCTCCCCTCGGCTTATTTCGTCCCTTCTTAGCATCGTGCTATCAGCAGTTCATTAACTGGCGGCAATTACCTCAATTTTCCCCGGGCGTCACCATTCTACGAGATGCCGGCATGAGTGACGCTAGCAGAGGCAAATAGGTACCTACGTATGGAAGTTTCTGCGAATTGTATGACAAGTCGTAGCATTTCGACTGGAGAAGAGAATAATTGGCATGATTGGGATCGGCCAGTATGGTATCTGATATGAGACGGATCGATTTGATTGGCTGGTACCGGAAAACAGCGTGCGGGGAGTGTACTAAGAAATCGACCGTGGGTTGTATCAACTGCAGTTACACGTCCCCTGCGGGATGTCAACAGTCAAATGATACGTACGGATTTTACTGATAAAGCTGGCGAGCAGCAATGCCATGCCACCATTCATCCTGGTGTTGCATTGTGGACAGTGTCCAATTTCTGTATATATTTTTTTTGGGGGGGGGGGGGATCGTCCAAATCCCAGCTTCATCTATAGACGTGAGTCACGTCGTGACTTTCGGACCTCATAAATTTGGTTGGAATTGTAAAAATTGAAGTGACGTTTCACGGTCAGGAAAAAAATCCTTTTTAACATTCACAGATGACAGAGCCAAAGCTCTGCCTCGGGCCCGGCTCAATACAATCTTGAATCTAATCCCTTCCCATTGTTGTACTCACCGGGGTGTCCACTGACGTCAGGCGCCGCTCCGTCCGCCACTCGCCGCACACCGGTGACGTAATATATGTGAGCCGTCCTCAGCAGAGCGGCGCCGGCCTCCTCCTACCGTCGGTCCCAGGCACCGCTGCGCGTCCGGCCAGTCCCGCGTCAGACCGACGAGTGCCGCCCGCCGGCGTCGACGGCCCGTCGTCGGTCTGGACGCGGCGGCAGACTGCGCGGCGGAGCCGGGCCGACGGGAGCAGTGTCCGCGGCTGTCGGGAACAGACGGGTTGTCAGTGGCAGAGGACAGGTACTGCCGCCGCCGCGGAGAGCGACGCTGGCATCTATACAGAGCATCGACAATCACATCGACTGAGACGGCTGCTCACCAATTTATCGGGGCCGTGAGATGAGAGGAGTGCGGGAGACATCGGGCCGAGTCGACCACCGACCGGTACTGACCGCGGCCGCGGCTGGGCGGACAGCCCGCTGGGCGGTATCGTCCCGGTGGGGCAGACCCGGCCCAGCCCGGCCGCCCAGACAGTCACCCGGCCGCGGAGAGGTAGGGCGGCAATCGGTGCTGGCCTCGGAGTCCGTCAGCCAGAGTCTGGTCAGGACGGGGTGACCAAAGATGAAGATAGGCTGGGTCTGAGGATAAATAGTACGGATGGTACTGGTGCAGCTTCACGGTGGTCACAGAGGCACATCACATCCACCACGCTCACAGTTGTTACCATTTATCACCACGTACCACCGTCACAATCGTGACCGCTGCCTAAGGCATGCTATCACAATTGTTACCATCGCCTAAGGCACCCTCACAACTGTGACACCACGAAAGACGCCGTCCGGAATAACTACCTCCGTCAGAGTCGACACGCAAACATCACCAAACAAATGGAAACATCATATCCCACCATCTTCACGTCAGCATACTCACGGATAACTGCATCGACTGCACAGCCGAGCGCCAGTTTGCCCCGTCCGCCTGTTACCCGCATGTCCCAGCTGATCGCTAACTTCCCGGTCGGTGTATCCCCGCCCGCCGGCTGCTCGCTGAAGTTCCTCTAATGACGTCAATTTGACGTCACCAGAGTCGTGATCTATGGAGTGCTAACGAGTCGCAGACCGCCGGCGGCAACAGAGGGCGAGTTCGGAACTGGTCGGCCGGCGGGCACGGCGCCGACGACACGAGGCCAGGTCCGCCCCGCGTGGTGTGCCCGGCTCGAAACAGTTCCATAATCCAAGATTACTTTACTACTCCCATAACCTGCAATGAAGGGAATTAGCGAGCGAGCGCGGCAAGCAAGCGAGTTTATCTGTGGCTTGACGGAAAAACATACCTAGTGGGCGAAGCGAGTGCGACTCGGTCAAGTGGCGCTTCCTGTGGTTCTAACTATCAGCAGCTAGTCAAAAATGAGAAAAAATGAAAATAGTTTCTACCTTCATCAGCAATAGGTTTAGATACTGCCTGCTGCCAAATACCGTTCATCACTTTATTTGACCGAGAGTCCGAGATATTGACGCTTAGCCCATGAAATAGGTGCCTATCAATGAACATAGGCCTCATCATATTAGCCGTTTTCACGACGGGCTATCCGGTGATTGCACCTAATTTGACCAAATATGCACCTAATCTGCACCAAATGTGCACCAAAACCAATTGTGTACCAGATGGCCGTCGTGAAAACAGCTAACTATTATCACGATTGCAATGCCGAGGAAAAGGCAGCGCTTCCAGTAGGCAGTAGTGCTAGTGTCAGTTTCAGAAAATGTACGTCCAATGACCGTGGCTAAAGCCCAATACTCACGTCCATTGCCCGTCCGCGAGTTACCTAAGTGTGGAACTACAAGTCGATTCTAGGGCTCTGATTGGTGACTTTGGTCGGGGGATGACGCTTATAGCATGACGTCACTCGCGTACTTGGCCGGACCAACGGCGCGGCGCAGGCGCGCCGAGCCAACCCAGAGGCTCTCAAACTCAATTGTATAGATCCTGCGCATTGAATGGCGAAACTTCGGCGAGTTCGCTTGAGTTTGGAAGCCCCTGCCAGAGAACTGGAGACGGCCGGATTATTTGCTGGACAGTGAGTGGGCAGCGCAGATGGCGATTGACGGTGCCAAAAAGATGATAGGGAAAAAGGGGTTGAGACTTGAGCAGTGAATTATAAGCCTGTTGCATAGCTGAGTGGTAAATTGTAAAATACTTAAGGTTTGATGAGATGCAGTGTAGTTTAGCCGACTCAGGGGCATTCTGCCGAGTTATGTAAGGCGGAAGGGTCGCAACTCGCAAGTCGTTTGTTTACATGATTGCCTGATTAAAATGTAAAGCGTACCTAATGTTTAGTTGATAATACAGCGAGGTTGGGCATCTGCTCAATCCATTTCTTCTCTGCAATAGTGCATTCGCCACTGTAATTAATTCGGTAAGAGGCACTGGGCTGCGCCGCCTGTTAATTATTCCGAAACCACCAGTGAATTGTCACAGTCACTCACAACAATACGAATCGTTCAGTCGTGCGCTGGGGGCCCGCCAAGTTTGAGTGTGCTGCAGAATGCAGACTGGACCGCCGAGAATATAACACTTCCGTCTCCCTGGGCGAGCGGCGCATTGGAGCCGAAGGAAACTGCTTCAGTTTTTTTTTTGTGGGGAAGATACCCATGTTTGAAAATTATGTTCTGGAATGATGCGATAAGGAAAAGGACGGTTTCTTGAATTGAGGGCTGTGGAGAAGAAGCAGATTTTCTCATTTGCTACCCGATACAACGCGAAAAGACGCAAATGTTGCACATTGGGCTTAATAAGTCTAATAAAAGATAAGGGACTTCGTGAATCATGCCTAACTGACCGCGACCCAGTTATTTGCCACTGCAGGTAGGTACTAGGTAGGTAGATACTCATTTGTAAACAGAGTGTTCCACCAACCCTCGCCAGAAATTCAATCAGCAGTTGCTTATCTTAAAACGTTTGAGTGCACCTAACAACCTTTAAAAATGACGTCCTCCCTTTTAATGGTTCGTTCGAAGACACAAAGCCAGAATCAGCCAAGCAATATCGGAATCCATTGCGCAGTGTGTCGACTGTCGGATGTGCCCATCCACACAGCACAGCACACACTGCTAAATGCAGGTACGCTCACCTACACATTAGGTATTCGAAGGACTTGATAGCTCATACACATGGAAGAAACTCATGAAATGTGATTAATAGCTGCAGCAGAAGTTTGGCGTCCGATGCCTCTTCGCCAAGTTAAGACCATGCCAATCTCGGCCAGTCTGCCGCCGCGCCGGCACTGGCCGTGGTGTGACGTCATCCGGCCGGCTCGGCGCTGGGTAGTTCCACACTTAGGTAACTCGCTGCCCGTCCTGAAATGTGCAAGCCAGCCTTTGCCCATCGTCCGAAACCTGGCGCACCAGTTCAGAAGTGTTGATGATATCGTTTTTTTAGTTTTAACTCGGAATAATAGCCTCGGAATAAATCACTCACAGGCTTGAATCGCGAAGCGGCCAGCCCTCTTTCCACAGGTCAAGAGGGTCAAGGCCAAGGTCAAGGCTGGGGTTGGGTCAAGAACGTCGAATTTCTGCTATTTCTGCTTCGCTGCTTCACAGAGGTGACAACAGTTGACAATCATAAACTTTTATTTTTGGACAAATATGCTTAGATTACTGGGCGTAAAAGATTGAATTTGGCTGAAAAAAAATGGAGGTGATATAATTAGTGAGATAAATCATAAGAGCAGCAGCTTTCTAGTGAGAAAATGCCTGAAAAGATAACTTTACTACGATGAAGGCTGATCTCGATCTTTCCTTTCTCTCGCATATGGCTGCATTTGGTAGCTGACCGTTGCTTGCGTGAGCGGCGCTCCAGTTGCGAAACAGCAAATAATCATGTTCACTGTAGTCAGAAAGCACATCATGTTTGATATTGACAAAATTGAAAACTTTAAGTTAAATGCGTATATCATAATAAAATGAAGGGTCAAGACAAGACGTTTCACAAAATTGATTCTGGAAAAAACTACATAATTTTATAAACCAAAAATGAATGAAAATAATCGCTGACAAAAACTGTTCCTGCTTATGCTGAATTATGAGCAGGCTCTGAACACCATCTACAAAGTTTACTTCGTTGATCAAAATTGAGGCATCAATTAGGCCATTAGCATCATTTATTTATCACGTTAAAGGTTAAGAAATATGAAATTTAACTTAAATATTAGGGAATAGTATTTATTGCATCAAAACCACAATGTTCGCATCAACATGGTCAACAGGAGGCTGAGGAGGAGGCCTTGACGGCAACATTTTCAGAAACCTGGACCCAATGATCTGATTTATTTTACAAGAACTGACTATGGAGGAAACAAATAGTTATGCCAGTGATGAAGACGAAGACTTGTGTGTGGTGTGTTGTAAGGACATTCAAATATGTAGCATCATGGATTGCCAACATACGATATGCCATGAGTGCTCAACCAGATTACGAGTCCTCTGCGGGAAGTTGGAATGCCCAATATGCCGTCAAAAGACCACAGTGGTAAGCTTATTCAGAATGAAATTGTATTTTGGTTTATGTGCTGTTAATGTTTGCCTTCCTACCAACATTTACAATAATGACATGCTTCATTGACTGGTGAACAAGCGAGTGGCAAGTCGTATACTATTGCATGGTGTTTCTTGTCAGGTGAAGGCAGTGTAAAGCCATTTACAGGATATCATGAATGATACCTCAGATGATCCCTCAGAACCTCATCAATGCACTGAAGTGATGGTGGACGTTGTTTATTGGTTTTCTTTTAAGCATGAATCTAGCTCAAATTTGTTTTTGCTGATTGACTAAGCCACTGCCCATGTTGAGCAGATCAGTGCTCATTATAGTCCAGACATATGCTTTCTGAGTTGCCACAGTATCCAGCTGCCCCCAGGTGCTAACTCCCCTTGCCTGGCCGTCTTCCAGGCGCTGTTTTCCAGCCAGCGGGGCCCGTTCCAGAGCCTGTTCCGGCGCTCTCTGTACATGGACGAGCGGTACCAGCTGGCGTTTGAGGACGCCGGCGCGCGCCAGGAGTTCGAGCAGCTGCTGGCGCACCAGTGTCCGCGCTGTGATGGCGCCGGGCCGTTCGGTACGTTCGCGCAGCTGCAGCAGCACGTGGCCAGCGAGCACGAGCTCTTCTACTGCGACATCTGTGTGACCCACCTCAAGGTGAGGGGCTGAGAGGGGTGCAGGTGTGGGGGAGCTGTGGCTGGTCTCGTTCATAATTTGTAGAATATTTATGCGTACAGGTTCGTTAGTGAGGCCTGTTCATAGGCTGCCACAGGATCGTGGAGTTACCTTACGATCATTACTAGTCACATTGTGCGGTCGACCGTGTCACCGTACCAAATGCTTTTAATTTCTTTGACATGTGCAAAGTCAATTTTTTTTTTTAATTCTTTTTTTCTATTCTATGATTTTTTTTGTCAATGAGAGAACGACTGAAAAAAATAAGTGACATTTTTGCAATACATTGTGGTATGGTTTGGTGGGTTTTCAGTTCATTTACGTTGGTGTATTTTTTATTACGGAGCGAGCGAAGCGAGCGTAGTCTTTCCTTAGATTAACGGAAATTTCTGAGTATGAGCGGCCGGCCGGCCGGCCGGCCGGCCGGCCGTGGTCACGCTTTTGCGAGGCTTATATCTCAGCAACCACTTGACCGATTTACACGCGGTAATTTTTGTAGGGTAGCTTCATTCCTTCTACCAAGTATTGGACTATTCCCGATGCATGTGGGTGACCCCTTATGCACGTGCCACGTGCAAAACGAAGAGGTGTCAATTTTGTAATTGTTGCAATATCTCGGTAACTACTTGGCCGATTGCGCTGAAAGTTGGCATGTAGGTAGGCACCCACTAGGCACTGCATATACATGTGCCAGAGTTGGGGTGCTGCTGCACGTGCGCACGTGCAGGGGTCGTTTCCAGATCTCGGGAACGGCTGGACCGATTGCGCTCAAATTTGGTACACGGTTAGGGACCGGTTAGTAGGGTGCCGTGCACAAGTCAGTTGGGACCCATCTTGCACGTGCGCACGTGCAGGGTGCCGCTTCCAGATCTCGAGAACGGCTGGGCCGATTGTGCCCAAATTTGGCACATCGCTAGAGACCAGTTAGTAGGGTGCCGTGCACAAGTCAGTTGGAGGTACCCCCTCGCAATTTCGCACGTGCAAGGCCCACCCTCTCGCTCGCTCCGTTAGTCGCCCCAAAAGGCGTTATACTGGTTCTAATAGGTCGCTGGTAATTGCTTAGGAACTCGACGCGTAATATTATTCGCGTAATATTTTTTGTCAAGAAACAATTATCTTGCTTTTTCATGATATCAGAGCAAACATAGATTTTCCCGCATTCCGCAATGCCATGCGAACGCAAAATAAGGATGTTTTGTTTTGGTTGCCACGGTAACCGTGTCGGCAGCATCACCTGGCTAGTGTATCACCCGGAGCGCCTCTGCCCAGTTCTCCATCATCTCAGTACAGCGGGCGTTACTCGTGCCCTTATGAGGGCCACTGTCAGCGCCAATATCGGAACATGAAAGGATGCCGGTTATTACCGGACAGAGGGCTGCCGCCCGGCGGAGAATACAGAGCAGGGGCACGAGCGATGCGCCGACACCCGCCCGGTAATTGTGCTGTGAACGATACACAGCCGGTGATATTACCCGGGCCGCATTTTCCCAATGACGTAAATAGGCGATGATGATTCCAGGTTACTCTATGTTATCAGCGGTTTTACTACTGGGATGTGGCATCTTTCAGCTGTGCAGGCGCTGGCAGTTTGCGCCTTTAGCGCCGACTTTTGCTTATTGATTGATGTAACCTCGGTGTATCAGCTGAATTATGATCTGGTGTTGACGCCGATAACCACTGTAGTCCGGTCGCTGTCACGGTATCTCTCTCTCTCCCTGTGACGTCACAGCTGTTCAACAAGGAGCGCAAGCTGTACACCCGGGAGCTACTGGAGCGTCACCACCGAGAGGGCGATGCCGGAGACGACTCCTACAGCGGTCACCCGCTGTGTGACCTCTGTCAGCAGAGGTCAGTGACCTGTGACGTGACCTCTTCAGTTGTCAGTATCCTGTGACCCTTCAGAGGTTAGTAACATGTCCTTTAACCTGATGGACAGCTGCAGAGGTCAGTAACCTGACCGCCATAAAAGGTATCCGACCCTCGCCCGGGACCCCGGTCCGCTGAGTGTGCTAGGTAGCTCTGCTATCCGCTGAGTGTGATATGCGTAGCTCCGTATCCCGCGATGGAACATTGGGAGCTACCCGTTACCGGTGATATTGATGGCGTCGTTTGCGAGGATCAAAACACAATTGACTTTAAGTTGAGAGGTGATTTTAGAATTACGTTTGGTTACGAATACCGCTTTCAATCAGTACGGCTGCTTAACTGTCGCAAATATGACTTCATTTCTAGCTGACTCTCTCCGGCTTTAAATGGCCTCTGGCCTCTGGTTAATTGTTTTGTGCGCAATGAGTGTACATTTAGGCCTCTTCAAATACGGTTACGGAGGGTCCACTCAGCTTTGTTGGATACCCGCAGGGGGTAAATGGAATACTGTCGGGCTGCCGACCTCTAGTCAACTCATTCCACGGGGAATAGAGATGGTTACAACATATTGGGCGATACCCGAGTGCGCAATTTCCCAGTTTATCTCCGATCGTAACAGAACGTGTGCTGTCTGTAGCCGTCGTCAGGTTTTAGTCCATGTGCGACCGTGCCTGATGCACGAAAGATGTTCTGTTTCTAAACTAGATTGAACGCCGCCATTGAGCGGTCCCCACAGAGAGAGAGAGCTCCATTGCAGGCTGTCGGCGCCAAGTTTTCAGACGGTTTTCAGCCGGCGCTGAAAGCCCGTATTGAGAGCACGTCTGCCATGAACTCCGATAACATTGAGCGCCGACTGCGGAGAGCCGGGGCCGACAGGGCGGCCGTCCGGGCGTGCCCGCCGCCCCCGCCGGCCGGCCCGGCCCGCCGGTCAACAGCACACCCACAGCGCACTCACTGGGAGGCCATTTGTCCTATTGGCCGGCACGGGGCCGCTGCCAGTGCTGTTGTATTCGGACCGGTGCTTCCAGTGCTTTCAGTCGACTTTTACAGGCAGGCTGGGATTGAGCGCGCGCGATACGAGCGAATGGTCCCCTCATCGACTGATGGCTTTAAGATTAAAGGCTTTGTTAGATCTACGGCTGAGAGTGGGCATAGACATTTCGACATTTGTGAATTAGCGCGCCTACAATGTCAGCCTTGTGCTTCACACCACGGCTCATTTTACTGGTGACCTTGTTTCATGACTTCTGACTACAACTGTATGTACACGGCGGGGTAACGGTTGTTAACTCCCCGTCCCCACGTACCCCGCACTCCGTCTCTGCGCATGCGCTCTGACCTCTGACCTCTGCGCCCCTGATCAGGTTTGTGGACCACGAGGAGCTGTACATGCACATGCGCCGCGACCACTACCACTGCCACCTCTGTGAAGCCGACGGCCAGCGTGCCTTCTTCCGGTCAGTGGGGGGACGCCGGAGGGGGGGGGGGGTGCTGCTCTGGTGGGAGAGGCAACGGCGCTTGAGTTTGTCATCTGACACCGAGACTAGTCGGCAGTGTTGACTGTTAATCATCTACCTAGTACAGTTTGAAAGCTGTCATAACTATGAATGCTATTTCCTGGCTATCATGCCTTTATGATTTAGGTGATATTCATTGTTAGACCAGTACATGTAGTCTTCTTAAATTTTTGGCATGGTTGTAAGGAAGTGTCAATTTAAGAGATTGTATTGCATTTGTGACATGAGCGGGACCCTGAGTCAAGGTTTCCGTTTCCAGTGACGTGACGGAGCTGCAGACCCATTTCCGGCGGAGCCACTATCTCTGCGAGGAGGGAGAGTGTCGCGAGAAACGGCTCATCGTCTTCCGCACAAACATCGACCTGCAGGGTAACACACGGGGAAACGGCAGGGTAACACACGGGGAACCGGCAGGGTAACACACGGGGAACACTCGGGGAACGGGAGGGTAACACTCGGGGAACCGGCAGGGTAACATACGGGTAACACACGGGGAACCGGCAGGGTAATACACGGGGAAACGGCAGGGTAACACACGGGGAACACTCGGGGAACGGGAGGGTAACACTCGGGGAAACGGCAGGGTAACACACGGGGAGCCGGCAGGGTAACACACGGGGAAACGGCAGGGTAACACACGGGTAACACACGGGGAAACGGCAGGGTAACACACGGGAAAACGACAGGGTAACACACGGGGAAACGGCAGGGTAACACTCTGGGAACCGGCAGGGTAACACACGGGGAAACGGCAGGGTAGCATACGGGGAACCGGCACGGTAACACACGGGGAACACACGGGGAAACGGCAGGGTAACACACGGGGAAACGGCAGGGTAACACACGGGGAAACGGCAGGGTAACACTCGGGGACAGTGTCCCAAAATTTGTAGATGTGGGTGGGAAACGACATCCAAATGAAAATCATTTTCCACTCTCACCTCCAGTTTTCAAGCCCAATTTTCCACTCCCAATTCCACCGAGAAGGAGCAATTGCGTGAATGGTTGTTTTGCATCTGTCACAATTGTAGAAAGATTAATATTTTTGATCATTTTCCCACTCTTTTTGGGCCTTACCTGACCGACAATTTTTCACTCTCATCCTTTTTTGGTCAGCAATTTTCCCCTCTGACACCCAAGCAAAAATATGATTTTGGGACACTGCTCGGGGAACCGGCAGGGTAACACACGGGGAGCACACGTGGAACCGGCAGGGTGACACACGGGGAAACGGCAGGGTAACACACGGGTAACACACGGGGAAACGGCAGGGTAACACTCGAGGGACCGGCAGGGTAACACACGGGGAACCTGCAGGGTGACACACGGGGAACCGGCAGGGTAACACACGGGGAGCCGGCAGGGTAACACACGGGGAACACACGGGGAACCGGCAGGGTAACACACGGGGAGCCGGCAGGGTAACACTCGGGGAACCGGCAGGGTAGTTAATTACGAGAGAATCGACTTCTCTAGTAAAATAGGGGAAATCTGCAGGGTTGAATGGGGGCCATGTTCGGCGCTTGGAGTAGAAGGGGTAAAGACAAGTACCTAGATATAAGTTCGACACTATAATAGAGTAAAGGCGAATGCTTTGGAACGAGAACGGCATATGTAGATTAAAGGGAATATGGTCTGCCACTGATTAAAGACAGTAAATGAATGGGGCTGGTATAGAATGCTGAAGCAAGCTGCGAAGAGTGTCTGCTTGTCTGCTGGGAAGACAATCAGTTATCGTGGAACTAAGGTTGTTTACACTCTGTTCGAGAATGGACAGCCTGAGCCGTGTACCAGCCAGCTCATGTCTCCTCTCCTGTGCCTGTGCAGTGATTGGTTTGAGTGTCACCCCCTGGTGATCGCTTCCGTCCCGTTTAGCTGCCCTCCCCGGTGTCTGGCTCTGCTGAGCTGTGGGTGGTGACGCCCCCTCCCCCGTCCCCAGCACACCGGGCGTCGGTGCACGCGGAGGGCTCGTCGGGCGGTGTGGCGGGCGGCCGGCGCCGGCAGGGTCCGCCCGTGCTCACCCTGCAGTTCAGCTCCGCGCCGGCCGGACGACGACGCCGCGCAGAGAGGTGGGAGGGGAGAGAGGGAGGAGAGAGAGCGGCCGGAATCGGGCCGGGAGTCGCCGCGGTCCGTGCTCCAATTCAGCAGCTCTATGAGTGGGATGTCCAGCCGGTTGGAATTTGGCACGGTTATTGCGTTACATAGAACGCATAGAGTAGCGCTGGTGCTTTTAACAGTGGAGTGGTTCCCAATTGTGTCCTGTAATTGAGATTTGGCACCGGCAAGCGTGCATCCTTTGAGCCTTCGTGCGTCAATTACACCGTACGGCCTTCATAACTCGTCAGGTCAATCGGACGGTCTTTATTACCCCGTATTGAAGCGGGTTTTACGAACTAGATATTGCCAACATGTGCCTCTCTTTGAAGGGATTATTGCTCGTCTTTGTCATGGCTATCACGGGCCGTGTTTCACGGCACGACGCTGCAGTGCGCTGCATTGGTGCAGCATTTGAGACGAATTTTCCTCCACGCTCCAGAGTTGGCGAGCGTCCGAGTTTGTTGATGTTTCCCCGCCGATTCGCGTAGCGCGCTGGTAGCGTCGTGCCGTGAAACAGGGCCACGGTATCGTCGTTCATCAAATTCCACATATACCCATCATTTGTTTATTTCAACGTCTCGTCGACCTCATGGCACTTATTTAGCATTTTATAATTCTGACGATTCTCTGTGGCTAAGATTTTTGACGTCCTTGTTATCACGTCATCTCTGTGTTTCTAATAACACGTCTATTATGATCATGTCTTTTGTGACGTACAGCGTCCCTGTCTCTTATACCGTGGCTATATTCTATTCTGGTTTCTCTGACACGGTCTAGTTAGTTCCATCTCTCTTTCACTGACTCTGACCCCGTTCCGTCTTTCGTTTGGAGTCTGAGTTGTATTCCCGTTTGTGTATGTACCAGGCGCGCCTTACAGTGCCAGTCTCCCTGCTCGTGTATTGCAGGCGCGCCTTACAGTGCCAGTACTCTGACGCCCCGTCTCCCTGCCCGTGTATTTCAGGCGCGGCTCGCCGGACCTGCCCGTGCAGTCGCCCTCCCCGTCGGCCGCCCCGGTCCGTATCGACAGCAGCCTCTCCGAGTTTCCGCCGCTCTCCCCCGCCGGCGCCGCGACGCACTCCACCTTCTCTTCCGCTTCCACCTCCGCTGTAACATCGACAGGAGCCGCCACACCCACGTCTACAGCGCTCAGCTTCAATATGAACCGACGGCCAACTCACACCAACGTCACCATCAACGTGAACCGCCGCACGACCGGCAGCAGCGGCGGCGGCGGGAGCGGTGCACAGGCCGGGGTGGGGTCGCCCACCGGGAGCCAGCCCCGCATATCTCAGGTACGGCTCCCGGCCTCAGCTCCCGTGTGGCCGTCTCTGGGGAGGGATGCGGGAGCAGAGTTGGTAATGAGACGTCGGATGGTAGAGTTGGGATGGAGGACGCCACATTTAGTTTCCTATGGTTTGGAGGCAGCGTAATGGACGTCTAGCGATTTTCACTAGCTTAGAGAACTTAAGTGGAAATGATCGACCGTTTCCTCTCGGCTGTGTGGAACTTATTCCCCTCTCTTACTCTTCCATATTTGTTCCCTTTCTTCAGCTCTGCTATTATCGCAGTTCTCCCCTCATTTCCTTTGTCTTCCATTCCCCTCTCCCCCCCCCCCCCGCCTGTCTCCCGGTCCTCCCGCGATCGCTCGCTCTCCCTCCCTCCCCTCTAACGGCCCTCGGCTGTCGCCGTTTGCAGGTCTCGTCGTCGGGTAACATCACGATGCAGAGTCCGACCATGGAGCAGCCGCCGCTGATCCGGGGCGGCCGCCTGGTCACCGACCTGGAGTCGCTCTACGGGACGCGGCAGGAGCCGGCCTCGCCGCCGCCGCCGCAGCAGCCGGGTACTCAGCAGGGACAACAGCAACAGCAGCAAACTCAGCAGCAACAGCAGCAAACTCAGCATCAGGGGCAGGAGCATCAGCAGCAAACTCCGCAGCAACAGCAGCAGCAGCAGCAGCAGCAAACTCCGCAGCAGCAGCCGGGACGGCGGCAGGGGCTGGCCGAGTCCCCGGTGGAAGAGGCGCCCCCTCCCACCCCTCCGCCACCTCCGGCGGCTGGTAACCCTGCCCCGCTCCCGCCCGCCTCCCCTCTCCCGCCGCTCTCCGCCCCGAGAAACTACTTCGGCACCAACAGCGTGCGGTTCTCGGTGGCCGGCGGCTGGCCGGCCCCGGCCGAGCTGCGGACGGCCGCCGTGCGGCAGCTGGCGGCCGGCGGCTGGCCGGCCCCGGCCGAGCTGCGGACGGCCACCGTGCGGCAGCTGGCGGCCGGCGAGTCGGCGGCGGCGGCCGAGCTGCGGCCGCGCTACTGTCCGCCGGAGAGCCTGCAGGCACGCAGCTGTCGACTGGTCAAACTGGCGCGCGACCTGTGCCGCTCCGAGGAGACGCTCAGGGACTTCCGGCAGCTCTCTGGTGAGGCACAGGGGAAAGGATAGAGCGATGTAAAAGCAGGGGGAGAAATGTAAGGGAAGAGAAAATGTGGAAAATGCACGCCGGGGGCGCGTCATTAGATGACGTTGTTACGCTTCCGCGGCATCCAAAGTTTACTACATTGCCGTGTCTCATTTGTGGCACCTGTGGCGTATGTATAACACCCATCTGGCGCGAGCTGACACCCCTCTGGTCCCCGTTTCAGCCGAGTTCCGTTGCGGCCAGCTGGCGGCGGAGCCCTACTACGGCCGGTGTCTGAGTCTGCTCGGTCCGGAGCGGCTGGCGCGTCTCTTCCCCGAGCTGCTCGTCCTGCTGCCGGACATCGACAAACAGACGGTATGTCCGGAACGGCGGGACAAACAGGGAAAACGGCAGGACAAACAGGGGACAAACAATGGGGTGTATGGCGGTTGTATCTGTCGTTGTTGTTGTTGTTGTTCTCCCTGGCTACCGCCAGGGCGGTAGTGTAGCCACGCGGCCCTTGTGCGTCGCGTGGCCGGCGGACAAGGCCGCCACCACGTCGGCGCGCTGGACATGGTGGGCCGCGCCGACGATGTTCCTCAGCGCACGGAGCAGGGGCCGAAAGGGCAGGGGCACTCCGGCAACACGTAACACGTCCAGTAACCTGGGTCTCCTCTCCGCTGCTTCGCCGCAGACTAGGCAGCGGCCCGCTGAGCATTTGGTGTCACTGCATTGGGCGCACTCGGTGGTTGGTCTTCGTTTAATTGGTTGGATGTATTATTCCGATCGCCCCCTTTTGTCTGACCGGAGCTGGTGGGTGTCAACGGCCTCCTCCCTGGTGGCGGCTCGGACCGTGGCGGAGGCGCGGTCCAGCCGGTACCAGCCGGCTGGCCAGTCCGCCTGCCACCTCCTCCTGGCGGACCGCGCGACAGCCCGCGTCAGAGTGCAGACGTCGACCGGGGTCGTATGCTAGGGCAACCCGGCGACTTCCTTAGTCAGGCCGTCCGCCCTCTCTTCCTCCGGGAGTCCGCAGTGGGCTGGGACCCATTGCAGCTCTATGATGCTACCGTCGGCCGCCAGGCGCTGGGGCTGGGCTCTGCCGTCGGCCGCCAGGCGCTGGGGCTGGGCTCAAAGTCTGGCTCCCAGTGGTGAGGTGTAGGCCGCAGCACCTCCAGCCAGGGGCAGCAGGGCCGCTTTGGAGTCGAGGCAGGCGACCACTGGCGCTCCCCTGCACCCGGCAGTTCGGCGACCGCCTCCCTCCAGAGCCGCCAGCAGCGCGGTGAGCTCCGCACGTCTGCTGGAGCAGTTGGTACCCGTACCTCCCATTCGTCTCCCTTCGGTGGGCGGAGCAAGGCGCCGCCACCGCCGTTCGCCACACGAACCTCCGCCGAGTCGTCTGACCAGGTCCAGACGGCCTCATCCGTCATCTTCCGGATGCGCTCCCCCGCCGCAGCACGGCAGAGCTCCCCAGATGCCGCGCGTCTGGCCCGCGGACCGAGGTCCAAATGGAACCGGACGGCAGCACTGTCGGTCCACGATGGCAGGGTGTGATGGAGGCTGGCCTCCACTGGAACCTCCCGGACCCCGCCACTGAGTTCAGAGAGTCCCACTCCCTCCGACCCTCGGTGGTACAGAGTCTTCGCGGGACGACCGCTTATCCCACCGACCTCAGCGGGTCGCCTTCCGGGAGAGATGCGGCGAGGCACCATTCTCTCGCCGCCAGGGTCTCGCGGCGGTACCGGGTGTCCGTCATCCCGGCCTCGGACATCAGAGCGTGGACGGGCGTGGACGCCTCGCACCCTGTCGCCGCCCGAGCCGCGGCACGCAGTTCTCCTCTGTATCAGCTCCGCGCGTGTTGGGGGCGTCGCCGGCAGCCAGGCGGCTGCAGCGTCTTCCAGCGCCCCCGACCCCGAATATGTACATCCGTTTGCGACAGTCCATCTGGGCCTTACCTGGGCACACGGTCTATCTGGGCTGGGGTATCCTGGGCCTGACACTGCAGGGTCAGGCCTTTTCGGTGTGATGAGAGCATTTCTGGTGAGTCACCGGGGCTGAGCCCATCCGGTGGACAGGCCGACCAGCCCCTCAAGCACTCATCGCAACCGGCTACGGGCGTGCTCTTATGGGGCATTCCCGCATGGGATAAAGTTGTCCGTCAAAAAAAAGTTACCCGTCCAGCCCGGCGCGGGGGTTTGAGGCGTGGAGGAGAAGGATTTGTATGTCCTGAGGATGGAAAATAGGGAACGGTGGGGCCGTGGGAAGACGTATAGGCTGAGCTTTCAGATATATTTTGCTAAGCATGACTGAACAATGACCATATCACGTAACGTCTGTTCTGTGTTTCTAGGAGCTGCTGGCGGCGCACGAGGCGCTGAGTAAGGACGGTTCACACCGGCACAAGTTCCTGCGCTGTCCGACGTGCTGTCAGATTCTGACGCTCTCCGACTGGGGCCGCCACTCGGCGATCCACTTCCGGAACGGCGAGTTCCCGCCAGAGTGTCAGTAGCGACGACAGCGACACCTATACTGCGAGACAGGGCGACATCTGCAGGGCGAGATCGGCAGTGCCTTACGGTGCCTTATCAAATGCGTTCTATTGATAGTTATACGCCGATTTAGCTGTGTATCACGACCGTTTTTGTACTGACGCCATCGCCACAAGTCGATGTTGAGTTTGTGCGATCCTAAAAGTGATCTAAAGCTAGTCATGAGCAGCTAATATTGCCATCGTGGCCAGAAAGACGTTGCGTCTGTAACGTTCGATGCAATATGTTACTTAGTTCGAATACTTAGTTTTGATTTTAGTGTTATGTCCCGCTATGGGTTTTTCTGTTTCGGATAGTTGTCTATTGTTAGCGCGTGACGCGTTTTCGTACCTTACTCGTGTTCGGCAGCTGCCGTTTCAGATCTGTTTGGCGTTCAGAGCGCCCGTTTACACAAAGTGTTGTGTTCAGTTGTGATGTGCTTGCCGAGCCTCTGCCTTCGGAGCTGCGAGTCCGCCGTTCTGGGCGGCTGCCTGGCCGGAAGTGCCTTATTTAGTTGTTGTTTTTCGACACCAAGCGCTGGGTCGCTGCGCCGAGATTTACCAGGAGCGGGCGGTAAGTGGGAAATATGTGCCACTGCCGCCCCCCCAGCTCCTCCGAGAGCTTACCCGACATAAATGAGCTTATTGATGAGTACAAGCTTTTGTGGCAGAACATTCTGTGTTTGCGTTGGGAGGGGTTGTGGGCTGGGTAGGCTGGCGACACATTTGAATCAAAACAGCCGCCCTGAGACTTGTGGAGCTTGAGAGTTGAGCATGACAGGCTGGCTGGTCGACGCGTCTCGGGTACTGCTGAAGGACTGATAGCACTGAAAGACCGTGATATATTTGTCATAATGATGTGCTCTCCAGAAACATCGCCTTGCGTATTGTATCCTTTCCTGCCGCATTCAATTAGCTTACTCAGCAGCCCGTTGCCCTTGGTGGCTTGTGAATACTTGGTAACGCCCACCGCTATTTATACACATTGCCCAGCACTATAAAGTTCAGCTGATCTTTTTCTCTCTGGATCTCGCTGTCTCGATTCCGTCGTTTCCCCGGGAGGTTATACCGAAATTCGGGCCGGGACCAGCAAATATGGGTTTCGGCGAATACCCAGCGGAGTACAACGCCAAGGTGCATGGGCCCTATGACCCTGCCCGGTGGTATGGCAAGGGTAAGTTCACCTATTAATTATTTTTTAGCATTTTCTGTTTCTCATGAATGACACGGCTGCGCCATAGATGCCTCTCTGATACTGGTTTATGACATTTTGGCGTATATTTCAATGGAATTACATTAATATCACATTAATTTATGTTTAAATGGTTTCCTTGTGGTTAAGATAGTTGTAAGCTATTATTTTGATGCCAAGTTTGATTGGTCGGCAAATCTGAAACTCGATTGCAACACATTTCCCATCCATCAGAGCATTTTTTATGGGAGGCTGTATCAAAAAGAATTATAAAAGCAACATCAAAGCCACATATGGTAGCTGAATATTAATTCCATATCAATAGTGGGCTGTGCACACTGTATAGGATACAGCACTGAACTCTATAATGTGGAATGCGCATCGGCCGCCAAATGGTGTCCAACGGTGCCGCCATGTTGCGCAGACCAGAAAGCGGCCGCCGCCTGTGCTGGGGAATAGGGAATTCGGGACCTCGATTTACGTTTGCGGTCGCTGCATCCGCTACGCTCAAGCTATGTGGACACGGAACCCGGCATCTTACGCAGAATTGAGTGGAGAACAAGATGAAATCCTAAAAAATCATCAGCTATAAGGAACTTATACGTTAAACCCTTATAAGTCAATGGGGAAATATGAAAATTGTTATTTTGGCGCCGAGAATGATCTGAAACTATCTCAAGCATATAAAATCATGATTTCATGCACTCTTTGCAAGGTTCTATGCTTCATGTTTGCATTGTTGCCCTTGCGTGACGTCATTCGTGACGTCACAAGGGTCACCATTTTTCTTCAATAACTCCCGATCAAATTGAGCTAGCGAGTCGGGAAAGCCACCAATGGACTCAGGAAGACCTGCCGAATCGAATGATATGCGACATGACCTCTTTCGACCAACTTCGTGACCTGGGGGTGCTGACCTGACCTTGACCTGAGGTCAACACCCTAAGTTGACCTGACCCGAACAAAAAGTATATCACTCGATGCGCCTGAGCTAGCTGAACACGATGATGCCAAAATCGCGGCTCTACGGCCATTTTTGGCGAAGTTATTTACCAAAAACCGAACCCGTGCCTTAGATCACTTGACCTGACCTCAGAGGTCACCGGTTGACCTGAGACCCTTACTTTTTTTTTGACCTGAGACCCTTACAGCGGGTTCCTACCAGTCACTCTGCATTATACTTTGCCGCATACGACCACTTAACCGTTTAATTCAAGTTTAATTAGCGGTGCATTAGCGAGGTGGGTTCAATCAACCCCCTCGGCCGGGGCAAATGTAGGTCAGGTGAGTAAATTTGAGGAATTCTGAAGATACGATCGTGTTCCCCACTCAATTCTGCGTAAGATGCCGGGTTCCGTATCTACGTAACTTGAACGTAACGGATATGGCGGCCGCAAACGTAAATCGAGGTCCCGAATTCCCTATTCCTCAACACAGGCGGCAGCCGGTTTCTGGTCTGCGCAATATGGCCGCCACCGTTAGACACTACGTCCAATAGGGTTGAAGCGGCATTGCTCCCCTGTGGGATACAGTGAAAAACTATGTGACGAATGAATGCATAGGAAGACCATCGGCCATGTATGTTGGTTGTTCTGCCAATGATTGGCAAGATGCCAATATAGGTAAAGTTGAGAACCCCAGCTTTAACTGAATGTCTCTTACTTCAATTACATGCAGTTTGATTTTCCCCTGTAGCTGTGGCAAGCTTTAGAGCTGCTGGTGACAAACAAGCCTCCCTCCAGATTCCAGGACAAATCTTCTTATGGCTGTTTCAACTAGAAGAAATGAAATAAACATAACTGACATAAGCTGACATAGCCTGAGTCCTGACCTAACCAAGCACATGGTAGCCTTAGTTTGACTCAATTTGGAAGTTTAGGAAAAAGGTTAATGATTAAAGATTTGCACTGACAAAAACATGCCTAGCAGATAATGTTACCTCCCTCTCAAATGACTCAGTGTATCAAATATTGTGCTTCCCCTCTTGACTAGGCTCCCCCAACCAGGCTATCTACAAAATTACATCAACCTCAGTAGCTCAATGGACATTGGCATTATCTCACCTCTGGATAGCCAGTAACACTCAGACTGAGTGTAGCTCACACTCAGTCTGTGTTGGTCTCTCCTATAGCTCACATTCAGTCTGTGTTGGTCTCTCCTGTAGCTCACACTCAGTCTGTATTGGTCTCTCCCATAGCTCACACTCAGTCTGTGTTGGTCTCTCCTGTAGCTCACACTCAGTCTGTGTTGGCCTCTCCTGTAGCTCACACTCAGTCTGTTGGTCTCTCCTGTAGCTCACACTCAGTCTGTGTTGGTCTCTCCTGTAGCTCACACTCTGTCCTTTCTCTGGCAGCCGACACTCCGCTGGCTCAGACCAAGCTTGGTGAGCTGGGAGCGTGGCTGGGACGCCGCCAGAAGTCACCCCAGGCCGTGACGGCCGCCGTCAGCCGAGGTGAGACACAGAGGAAGGCACGGCAATCGGCCGCTAATGGCAATTTAGAACCTGATTTGTCTCAACCCATTGTGTTTCTCCATCATATCGCCATTTTTATCACTAACACTATCATGGGGGTCCTTTTAATGAAATACGGCCACAGTGGTATTTTTAGCAGATGCCATGTTTGTTCTTGTACCGTTTGATCACAAAGCTGAGAGGAACAACTCGCCACCTATCTCCTCTCCTCTGACCATAACGTGAAGCCTATGGCTCCCCTGAGCAAGATAACCGCCCTCACTTCTGGCCTCTTGAGGTCTGCAGACTGCACAGGTCCTTGTAGTGCACCTGTGTTTGGTGTCTGGGCAATTTAGAACCTGATTTGTCTCAACCCATTGTGTTTCTCCATCATATCGCCATTTTTATCACTAACACTATCATGGGGGTCCTTTTAATGAAATACGGCCACAGTGGTATTTTTAGCAGATGCCATGTTTGTTCTTGTACCGTTTGATCACAAAGCTGAGAGGAACAACTCGCCACCTATCTCCTCTCCTCTGACCATAACGTGAAGCCTATGGCTCCCCTGAGCAAGATAACCGCCCTCACTTCTGGCCTCTTGAGGTCTGCAGACTGCACAGGTCCTTGTAGTGCACCTGTGTTTGGTGTCTGATCGGTTCTCCCGTCCTGGGTCCGGCTCGTGACTGTGTTCTCTGTGGCTCCCCCACCCGGCAGGCTACTGGCGCTGGCTGCACAAGTACGTGCACCCGAAACGGTCTGGCCTGACGCCGTTCCTGCAGGTGATTGCCGCCTCCTCGGCCTTCTTCTACGTGCTCAACTACACCAAGATCAAGGCGCACCGCATCCACAAGTACCACTGGTAGACTCAACGGGCCGACACCGGTGTCAGTGTACGTTTCAGACCGGTGTCAGTGTCAGTGTCCGCCGGTGTCAGTGATAGCGGGGACGGTGTCGATAGGAATACGTGAGAATATACAACTACACACTGCGTGGATTGTGTGTAGTCCGCGTTACTGGAAGCGCGATGGTACCAGTTTGGTGTCGGACGGCGTACAGCTAGACCAGGTGGATGTCGGAAATTGTAGAGGCTGGCAGATCAATACTGGCAATAGCCCATCCCGCTTTGTTCTCTGTTTTGTACCACAGTAGTCCCAGCCTGGTAATTCGCTCCCTGTGAACTAATTTACATTTGCTGAATAGCGGCTAGCGTGTTCCTTCGAAAGTGTCGAGTAGGCGGGTAGCGTGCTCGAGAATAATCAATAATCGTTCTGATACTGACTGTAGACAGCAGGCCGGCCGAGTGACTTCACCATCCCCCCCCCATCCTACCCCACCGGATCCATTTCTGAGGCTGCTAGGATCCGTTAGGATGTCCTGTCTTTACAGACTCTCCCAGAGACCATGTCCAATAATCCAATCCAGATGTATTTATCCCCCGCGGGGCCGGCCGCTCCGTCCCATAGCCTATCCGATGTGCCGCCACCTGTCAGGGCGGCGGCGGGAGGCAGCCGCGGCTACACCTTGATGGCGCGCAGCGACTGGTTGAGCTCCTCCAGCTTGTGGATCTGCCGGATGAAGTAGTCGCCGTACCGCTGGGCCACCTTGGTGTCGGCGATGTGGATCATGTCGCCGTCGATGTAGAAGTCGATCTGCGGCCGACAGGGAACGGGACGTACAGTTACTAAAGGGCCGGCACCAGTACGTTCCTGAAGGCTCCGTGCCGAAACATTACCAATAGTCATCCTAGCATTCAGAGCACAACTAAATGGCTGGAACGGCGAGTATTACCTGGGGAGGGATTAGTGTGGCATGTTTGAAGTAGGGTATTTAATTACATATTTTACAATACCTGTTTTCAAACACCGTCTGGGTCATCCAATCCCAATTCTCTCTGATATTGTGACGATGCCGCCAGTAATTCCCCGCTGCCCTGACCCCCACTCCCACCTCCCTGCTCTCTCACCTCGGAGTCGGACTGGAACTCGCCGTCCAGACCGGAGGTGCCCCCGACCACACCACGTTCTTCATCTTGTGCTTGAAGCACATCAGATAGGAGCGGAACACGTCGGCACTCAGACCCATGAAAGTGGCCATCTTCTCCACCGGCATGGTCGTGTACAGGCGCAGATAGCTGCCGGAGAGGGAACGGACCGTCACAGATAGCTGCCGGAGGGAACGGACCGTCACAGGTAGCTGCCGGAGAGAGAGAGAGAGAGAGAGAGAGAGAGAGAGAGAGGAGAGAGAGAGAGGAGAGAGAGAGAGAGAAGAGAGAGAGAGAGAGAGAGAGAGATAGAGGAGAGAGAGAGAGAGAGAGAGAGAGAGAGAGAGAAGAGAGGAGAGAGAGAAGAGAGATAAGG